TTAATGTTCTATGAATGTTTAGTTTTTAAAATATATTTTTTTTATTCTTTCTTGATTATATGAATATTAAGGGACATTCTATTTGTATCATTTTGCAAACATTACGTGAACGTTACTTTTGTATGTTCTTTGAACATTCTGAAACAAATTTCCTTCCCTCGCCTTTTGTATCAAATCTTTCCCTCGCGGGTAATGGCCCTAAGCCCTAAAATTATACGTAATCTTTATTTATTTTATTTTTTTCGGTCCAGAAAGCTTATTTTATTTCATTTTTCTATTATTGATGCAATTTTTGGGGAGATTTTTTTGTTATTTTATTTAAATTAATACATTTGATCAATAAATAAATAGTAATTTAAAAACTCCGCACATTCTTTTAAATTAAATTTTCATGCATACACTTTTTAATTCAGCTCAAAATATGTTACATTGGGTGTACGATCTCTTGTGGGGGAAAAAAAAATCCACTAGATAGCTCTATCTGGAGCTCTATCCTCTTTGTCCTGAAGTCAGTTAACAGTATGCATTCAGATACACACGAAGACATTATAAAATCATTTGTTGGTAAAGTTTTAGCATTTTTAGTTAGAATTTTAAGAATTTTTTATTTTTTTATTTTTCTATGTGTACTGAAGCATTTCTCGCATTCCATTCATTCCTATGGAGGTCAAATGGGAAGGATTTGTTTCATTTTTAAATTACAACCACAAAACCCCTCGAATCAATTAGATTTTTTATTTTTTTTGTATTCTTGGTTCAAGTGCGACAAAAGTGGACCCTTCAGATGAACACTCAATTTAAAAAAATATATTTTCCGAGTCAAAATGACCCGAGGGAAAAATTTTCAGAAAACAACTTCCATGAACAATGTATACCATGAATAATGTTTTTGTGCTAATGTTTTTTAGAACATTATTAAAGAAGACCAGATAACTTTGAACGAATGTTCGATTAATGTTACTGGAATAATGTCTGTTCATATGATAGCCAAAGTTCTGAGAACATTCTTGTTAGCTGGGATATGACTGCACAAGTCCAAACACTAGTATTACTAAATATACTGAGAGCAACCGACCACTTACTCATGTAATTAAATTAGTACAAAATGGCATGCTTCATTAAATGCTGTTAAACACCATATGTGTTTGTGTGTGTCTGTGTTCTGTCACTTTGCTATGTCATGCTGGTTTTTGGATGTGATGATGAATAGCCATGATAGCCGCAGTTTCCCGCTGTTTAACAGTAGTGTGGAATGCTGTTCGCAACCCGTCGGTTTATGCTGATACTCTAAAGTGAATCATCAGTGGAGGGCAGCTAAGATTCTATTTAGCACTGTCATGCTTCAGCTGTCAAATGAGGCTGTAAGTGCATACTTTATGCCTGTCCAATACATATAGAGCCATTTTCTCTAATGACATTATGTCAAAGGCATCCCTTCCCCCACCTCGCCTGGCAAATAATCACATGCTTCCTCTTTTTTTCTTTTTTTTTTTTTTTTGGTTGGATAATGCATCATATTATTACACCACATAGGTAATTATTAGAAATTGAAGGAGAGGGGGAAAGACAAAATTAAGAGACGAAAATAAATTAGTAGGAAATATTGTTGTAGTCATTTTGTCAGTGTAAATGACCAAGCTAACTCAGATTTGTGATGCTGAATGAGGGTGGAAAGCAGTTCTGCAGTATTTTAGAGAAAATGGTATTTGCAAATTGCAAAGTAATTTCATTGCAGTGTATTTAAGTAATATTTGTTGACTGAGCTTATTGGCTGATAATGTAAAGTTAACGACTTTCTTTATACAAATGAGGATTGTGTAAAAGTGATGCTGGTGTATCCCTTATGCCTATCCACTGGTACAACAGAAAAGGTGTGTTCGACTTGAAGCGGCGCTGGGCAGACCGATCGGTGTATGACATTAAAGTACCGCGAGAGCAATTTCGAAAACATACAGAGCTGTTAACTCTCAGACAGTGTCAGTGAAGTCCATTGAGATGCAATATGAGACATGAAGTAAAATCAAGGTAAATATCACTTAGAAGAGTATTGTTATTGTGTGCCATTACAGTCAAGTCATGCAGAACATAATAACATTTTAAAAGGCCATTTCTGCCACAAAATGTAGTCTCAGTGGGTAAGTTTAGGTTATAACATGCATGACAGAATTTCTCATGTATTTAGACTATTGGACATTTTAGTTGACAGTGAAAAGGTTAAAAGTGTATTATAAGAGAGTTTCTGTTGTAGTCCACAGGGTCTAAAGTGTTTCTAGTTGAAGAAACACCCAATACCCAACTGCTCGCCTCGGAAGTAAGAGCTTCTCGTGTACTTGAAAGCAGAAAAATTTCCTATTCCTTCCAACACTCACTACTTGCTGATCTGATTCTTGCTGGCTAGAGATAAAACTGTAGCAGCAAAACGAACACATACACACAATCAGACAAACACAAACCTGAGCTTTGCAACCTCTTTGTGTCAGTGGAATTTTTATCAGGATTTGCGTGGGTGAAATCAATGCAGGCTTTTACCGGGTCCTGGGAAAAGTTCAGCAGATTCCTCCTCTGCATTGCTAAAGGTGTCGTGACAGCAAAGAAAAGTGGAAGGAAACACTTAAGAACACACACTCACTGTCCAGGACGTGTAGCGGAAAAAGATCTTCATTAACTTGTAATTGGATCGCCTGATTAACCATTTATATACAACAAAGCAGTTCTCAGTTCATTTCAAGTTTGACATGATGAAGCATGATGAATTTGAGACTGATTGTCTTTTTAACCCACCGGCTCGACATTTATATACAATACAAACCTTTAATGTCCTTCGCAGTGGAAACTAGCCTGCCTATCCCTCCAGATAATCGCTTTTCTTCCTTGAGAGATTTCTTTCATTTGAATTTCACTGTGGGGAATGAATCAGCTGGTCCTAAGAAACAGTGCTTAACGTGGTCACTACATTAACTACAACTACACATTGTTTTTGGAACTACAGGTAGTCTGTTTACAAGCAATTTTCTATTTAGCTTTCCTTTTGCTTGTTTCTAAAATGAACAAACTTGGCCGGGGGGACTGCACTAATAAAACATTCAGCTTCTGTTCTTGTCCTCAAGTCTCATATTAAACGCGCGATGGGTATAAATCTTTAATAGAGTTGCATCCACATTTTATTTCCGAAAGTCCTGAAGTGACCAAAGCTCGTCTAAAAATAAAGATGGGACTAACGTGAATACAATGTTCATGGTAAAATGGCCACAGGAAATGAGGGAGCAAACATTGCCTTCAAGCAGTTAAAGTGTAAATGTCAAGTGAGTTATATACTAAATGTTCATGACTAATGCATCATCTGCACCATATGTGAGATGTGCGAAAGGTAGCCTATTCTGATCTGACCCTACAGGTCATTTGGAGGCATTTTCATGTGCATAAGAAACAAAAATGGGTTGCAGGTCTGCTGGTAACGTGGACCGCAGTGGAAGAAACAATGCCACATGCAAAAACCCTAACTGAGTGCTTAATGATTAGCATAGCAAAATAAATAGACGTGATGTGACCTTTTAAAAAGGGAGCATACACATTCAATCAAATTCTTAAGGATTTTGGCAGAAATTCACAGGTTGCTTGACACAACCCATCCATCCTTGAAAACCATGAACAAAAGTTTGTGTCTTGTTATTCATTCAGGCTTATGCAGCTCTTGATTACATTAATAGGTTAAATTATAACAAATCTTTTTGTTTAATTTAATTTCCTGTTAAAGGAGAACTCCGGCGCAAAATGAACCTTTAGTCAATCCAAGTCAATCGTTCTCTGAGGTTTGTTTTCATGATAATCGAATGTAAAGAGTTTTATCTCTAAAAACGGTTTAGCGTATAATGCTAGTACTGGGGGCATTTTAGCCTGGATGCCAGCCCGAACTCCGCCCACAACATTTTTTGGTCAGGAAGTTCGGTCTGGACTCGATCCATTGAGGAGAAATTATGATCAGTCAAAAAATGAACGGGCCAATCAGATTGCCAGGGTTGGCTTTATACGATGATGGACAAGGACGTAATCATCACGTTATCAAAGAGTACTGGTTTCCCTCAAAGGTGACTGCAGCTGGAGAATTGAGATGTATAGTTTTCGCTGTCGCGTCTGTTGTAAAATAAATTTGCAGCGCATTCATTTTAATAGACGTACAGAAAACTGAAATCAAGGCATTTGTCAAAAGGAAAGATATTTTTGCCGTCCTTCTTACATGATTCGGCAAAAGTGTAACTTATCAGCTGGCTCTGATGGTCGCTAAGTTAAGAAGATGGGATGTAATGAAAAGCCTGTGGTCGTTCTGATTTCTCCTTTGGTCGCACTCATGGAGGAGTAAGTAAAAGAAGCAACACTCGTTATTTTACTTCTAAAATAAGTAAGTTCTGTAGTTGAAAACTGCGCTATGCAAAGGAGTTGACTTACTGCGTTGCTCTGATTGGTTGTAGGTTTACCGACTATCCAATTGAGTGCAGAGGGTTTTTTTTTTCCTGATTCGGTTAAGACACGCCTCATAATCAAAGTCCTACGGAGCAGTTTCAGACTCATATTCTGACTAGAAGTCAGGCTAGGGGCATTTACTAAGTAAAAAGAAATCGCTAGTTCATACCACTTACAAAGCTCAAAATAGCCCCACACTAACACAGTAACATAATGAGGGCCCCTACATGCAAAACGAAGCATTGAGAACTTTGTAAGTGTATAGACCGTTTTATATAGACAGTTCACTTCATGTATACAGACAGGAGGTACACTTTTTGTTCCTTTTATGTACTAATATGTACCAATATGCACCCTTTATGTACCTTTTTTTTAGAGAGAGCGTGTCATTCTAAATATGTGCACAGCTTTGCAGTATAAGTACATCTTGAGGCGCTGTTAATGAATATACTCTGTGTAAGCTTTAATGAAGCGTTAATGAAGTCGCAAACCGCAAACTGTGATGTTTTCTCCCCGGACTAATACTTGTTTTCTCTCTGCAGAGCCACAGCTAAAAGGCATCGTCACCCGTCTGTACAGCCAGCACGGCTACTACCTGCAGATGCTGCCGGATGGCACCATGGACGGCACAAGGGACGAGAACAGCTGCTTCTGTAAGCGCGTGTTCTTTCACACTTGTAATTCACACCTGACAAGCACAGTGTGACCTTTGGTTGGTCAGTTGTGGGAACTCTTGAGTTGTGTCTGTGTGTGTCCGTTCCAGCGACTGCTAGACGGACATAAAATAGAATTTTGTTGTTCGTGTCGTTCATTTCCTCTGTCTTACAGTCTCCTCACGTACATGGTCCGTCTGTCTGTCTGTTGTAATTAATTTAAAAGGCTGTGCTGGCATATGTCCCTTATGTCAGGCCTAAGGTGTATAACCCTGGTACAACTCTGGGGATACACTCAGCTGAATTCAAGATCACATGCCGTAGTATGAATATTTGTCTCATCTGGAATTAAGGCCAAACCTGATAATTAGAAGAAGATTTTCTCATATTCTTGACCTTGTGTATTTTAATTAGATGTCTGGAATTTATTCAGTTTTTATGATAATATGGTAATTGTTGTTTTAATGATGTCTGAGCTGACATTTATTAGTATGTCACTCACTGTACTACTTTTTTTCGGTACTAAGTGGAACTGCATTTTGAACTAATGGAGTGATTGATTCAATAACCCATTCATTAAAACATGGGCTGCGTCTAAAATCACATTCACTACATGTCTGAGTAGGTACTACCAGTACAATTGGATTTACTTTGCGATTGTTAACAAAGTATGTTGTATATACTGTGAATATAGATAGTATGAATGAAATTTTGACGCATTTCATCACCATGTTGTTAGTCACGTGTCACGTGACCTACCACCGTCAGTTGTGTTTCTTCGCTGCCGTTCATAAGCATCCTTCAAAGGACGCGAAGGTCCTATAAAGGTCGGACCGAGCGTTGTTAAATGGGACGGTCCAGCCTATAGGATTGCTCTTGTAGCCTAGCAACTGTTACCATTGACGAGCGATGCCATTGACTTTAAGTTATATTCAACTGTCTGAAAAGATAAGAGGATTCACAACCTGTCTAAATATTTTCCATTTATGGTCCATTTATGTACATAATAAAGAGGATAAACTATCTACAAATCACATAATTTAAATAACAGATTTAAAGTATTTTTTTTAAAAAATTCCAGTAAGTTGAATCCCTGCAATACTTACATTTAAAAGTGTAATCTGGCATTTTCTCTAAATAAATATCCAGTCATTGGCGCACTATGAATCTCTAATCTTTGGATCCACTCGTTCTATCCTTCAAGACACGGGAAAAGAAGGACGCATTTGTAGACCATGTTCGAAGGAGCCTTCTTCACATTCATTCGTGCATGCATTCGTCCTTTGAAGGATGCAGCCTCTGAATTGACCGTTCGCAAAAGCCACGCCCCCTAGTTATTGTTACTATGCCCGTCAAACAAATGGTCAAACGCGACAGATTGCCATGATGGAAAGAGTCTTACTTGTAGCAATCTTTCCGCAATATCCTCTAGATTGAGGAAGGGGTTACAGTATGCAGTGGAGGGATATATTCAAAATGTAAAAATACGCAATGAATTTCATACACAGAAACATACACACGACAAAAAACAATATAACAGAAATGCTCAGTAAAGCCAGGGTAAACTGGCAATCCTTCACAACATGATTAACAAACAACATGGCTTATAACAGGAAGTGATGCAAGAAGAACAGGCAGTAGCCAGTACTCAGGCGATGGCTCCCTCTGGCGGTTGGAGGAATGGATGGCGGATGCAGACGTTACAGTTTAAATGTGAATAAAAGCCTAAATTAAGTCTGTTTATCAAATAAAGTGATTGTGCCTCTTCAAAAATGGACTAAACTGCTAAATTCGTATGGATTCGTTTTACAATCTTTTTTAACTTTTTGAAGCGTCAAAGTGGTATTTGCGTAGGTTGTCAACCGAGGGAAAGAAAGGTCTCAGATTTAATCAAAATAACTTAATTTGCATTCTGAAGAAGAATGAAAGTCTTACGGGTTTGAAACGTCATGAGGGTGAGTAATAAATGACAGAATTATTTTTTTTGAAAAACTAATCCATTAATTCTTCTGTACAGGTTCAACCTGAGGTCTCAATGGCACAATTTTATTTTTATGTTGAGTCACCATAACATGCTGTTCTAGAAGGGAAATAGACAGTAAAGAGAGGGAATATGATGTGTCATGAGCTCTTGCATGCCTTATGTAGCTCTATGTGATTTGTGTGTGTGTGTGTGTGTAAAACGGATTGAGAAGTATTTTATTGGGATGGCAGTTGTCAGGGTGCGCTAGTGTATAGCACATTCCTGTCTGGGTTGTCAAGGACTAGCTTACATGTCACGCTTGTCTATTGAAATGACTGTCGCACATATTAAATAACCATACTACTGCAGCGTCCCATGAACGTTGTGACAGGGCGGTCTGACATGAATCCTAAACACTTCACGCCCAATGAGGTGAATTTGATGGTGCTAAATCGTTACAATAATGTCCAACAGCAATTACATACAGTCATAAATCTGTCAAACTCTGGCAGGGAAATCTCACTGAAGACTAATTGCAGAAATATTTACCTTAGTCTGTGAGGGAATATCTCTCTCAGTCTTTCCCACCCATTTATTTAGCATGTTTTGTCTTCTGCTATCTATCAGAAGAAGTGGTGTTCCTTGAATCATCCATATCAAATACAATCCATCTTTCTATCAAGGACAACAGACGTAGGGCAGATAGTCCCTACTGGATACCTTCCCCCACCTCATGCTATTATCTTTGCCATCCCTGACAGTTTTACATCCTCTCTTCTATGTCTTTCTCGTCTTCATCTCTGTTATCCTGTTTCATCCTATGTTACGTTGTCTCTAGTCTTGCAAAGCCAGACATTTGACTCAAGGAAAATAATGGTCGTCATTGCAGCTTATTCTTCCCAAGAACCGCCCACTTAGACGGGAAAAGACACTTTGATTGACTACCACCCACCCTTTTCAACCTGACTATTCCATTCTCTCTGACACCTGACACTGTTTGCTATTCTTCTTAAAGTATTTGATCTATTTCTCTGAGCATGAATTCTTCTTGATTTCATCCCACAGCACAGTTCAACTTGATTCCTGTGGGTCTGCGGATAGTGGCGATCCAGGGAGCGAAGACTGGTTTCTACCTGGGCATGAACAGCGAGGGATATCTCTACACCTCTGTAAGTGACTGAATGCTCTTTTAAGGATTGATGATTATCATAATTAGAATAATTATGCAGGTGCCCTCCATGTGTCTCCACAATAATGATTCCCAGATAATTGACAAACATGCAGCTTTTAGAGTGGTAAATAATTATGCAGACGTTTTAATTACCCTCCTCATAGCAAGAGTTTGGCCAAATAAACTGATGTGAAAGAAGATGGTGTAATTAGGATGATGCGGGCACTTTCATTGGTGCTGAAAACGTCAGGCTTAGTTTATGGTGTGAAAGTACCAATTTTGGGCCTTGTGTTGAAGAGGTTGGACTCTCTCCATGGTGCTGACTTTCCAGGTTGCTCTCCGTGGTTCTGAACTTCTCTGGTTATATCATTGGGGTACAATCCCGTTCCATCTTACAGAGTATACATCTAATATTAATGAAACACACCTAAACCAGGTAATCAAGGTCTTTAGGAATACTAGAAAGGTCAGGTTGGTGTGTTGGATTAGGTTTAAGGCAGCCTTCCAGTGGCAAGTGGCTGATATTTTTTATTTTTATTTAGGAGCTCTAATATCACAACACCAAATAAAACAGTTCAATATGCAGCTCTGTCTGTATAGACTACCGTTCAAAAGCTTAAAGGAGTAGTTCACTTTTGAAAAAAAACTTTTGCTGATAATTTACTCACCCCCATGTCATTCAAGATGCCCATCTCATTCTTTCTTCAGTCGAAAAGAAATTAAGGTTTATTGAGGAATTAATTTCTTATTAATTTTTTCCGAGTCAATTCGTTCATTGAATGAATCAAATGACTCGGAAAAAGATTTGTTAACTTTTATGAACGAGTTTGAACAAGAGTCACAAACATGCGTCACAGAACAGAGCAAGGCGAGCATTTGAGCTTATACATTTTTTAAAATGAGCGATCGTTTCGCTTGATAAGACCCTGGAATCGTTTAAAGCCCTTTGAACAGTTTGCAGTTTGTACTAAAAGTGTCTTTTGGACCTTGAACCGTTTGGTTCCCACTGAAATGCATCATATGGACAAAAATGCTGAAATGTTTTCATCAAAAACCTTAATTTCTTTTCAACCGAAGAAACAATGATATGGACATCTTGGATGACATGGGGGTGAGTAAATTATCAGCAAAAGTTTTTTTTAAAGTGAACTACTCCTTTAAGGTCTGTATGATTTTTTTTTTTTAAGTCTCTTATTCACACCAACAGTAAAAATTTAATTAATTTATTCTTGTGATGGCAAAGCTGAATTTTCAGCATCATTACTCCAGTATTCAGTGTCACATGACCCTTCAGAAAACAAAATAATATGCTGATTTGGGGCAAAGAAATATTTCTTATTAATATCAATGTTGAAAAAGAAGCTGCTGCTAAGTACTTTTGTGGAAAATATAATACAATATTATTATTATTTTTATATTAAATATAATATAAAATGAATGAAAATAATATTAATATAAATAAATATGTCAGGGTTCTTTGATAAATCTAAAATTCATAAATTAGGTAAATAAAAAGAACAGCATTTACTTTTAATGAATGGAAATCTTTTGTAACATTTATAAATGTCTTTACTGTCACTTTTTAAATGTTTAGTAATGCATATTTGCTTTACTTATCCCAGACATTTTTGAACTATAGTGCATTTAGCCACAAAACATTTTAAAAAGATTAATCTCACTTCAAAAGCAACAACAGGATATCTGAAATCTCTTGTGGTTCTAGAAACATTTCAAATCCTGTATTAAATGTACTAGATAGCCATTTCGGATATGCGCCGTCAATGCTCTCAAAGGTCAATCTTTCCCATAAAAACAATAACAAAGAATTAGCCCATGCAGTGTGTCCAATTACCCAAATTGTGCTTGAGGAGTACAGTGAAAAGCAGCAGCATTAGCAAACAAGGTGGAGCAGATATTTAGACTGTGTCACGGCCAGAGCAGGATAAAGAGAACAGAGAGCGTGATGAGACGGCTCTCAGATATTGAGTGTGTGTTTGTTAAGCTGTGTTGTGTGTGTGTGTGTGAGTGTGCATCCCAGAGCTGGTGATTAGAATGCGGGGATGAGACAGCTTTTGTCTCCTGCCTCTCTGTGAACTGAGAAATGAGGGGATTTTCTTCTCAGAAGTGTAGAGCGGCATTTGGTTCAAAGGCAACTGACTCTAATTCAGAGCCTGTGTAGCTTACCGATGCGCTGCAAGCCTTGGGACATTCTGCCCTGTGTTGCTATCCTAAGACCGCCCCTCCTCCCCTCCCCTTTTTATGTCTTAAGTCTGGTCCGTCTATCCTGTCCCTGTCGTTTTCACCGATTCCTTTCATTTGGACTCATGCTTAACAGATTTGTCCTTTCAGTGCTACTGTACCAATCTGAATTTGTCTTGTCATTGCCCTATTCCAGTCTTTGGGACTCAAACAAACATTATTTTAGCTTGCAGTCGAATCAGAGATCATTACATTGAATTCTGTGTATTTTAATCAATGTCAGGGGTTACGTAAGCAGATTAATTTGGGAATGTTTACAATGCATGCTGCTTAACCGGCATCTGGATGCAGGGAATCATACTGGCTTTTGTTATATCACCATTGTGTCTGTGTGTGCATATGATTTTTGTAAGCATAAGTGAGTGTTTAAATGCAAGCGAAAGTGTGTGTTTGATAACCATCGACTTAGAGGAAGCGTGTGTAACGGATAGGCTCAGAGACTCGGAGGACACAGCCAATGGGGAAACACCTCAATCCCCAGAGCATTTTTCTCTTCCGCATGCTCCCATTCCCCTCCCCTCCCTTCCTCACTGCAGCTAAAGAGAAGGTCATTCATAATATGCCACTATATTGTCAAGCTCTATAAGTATCTCATTGTAATAAGCCCACGTAAATTAGACGAGCTGCCTCAGGGATTGTGCTCTTCTGTCACATAATGGATTTCATACATCCACTTGGGCAGACATTCTTCATGTACTCATGCAGCATTTGGTGCAAAGCCTGTAATGACCATTAAGGTTTAAAATGCACCGTCAAATCTGGAAGAGGCAATTCAGCTGAATGATTTAAAAGGTTAAAATCCCCAGAATTTGCGATTATGACAACATGCCATTGTCATTTACTTTTGAATATGGCACATCTATCAGCGAGTTAGACTTTTCATGGCTATCTCAAAGTACTCTCCTTTTAGAGTTTAGTCTTTTAGCAGCATTATGTAAGGAACAGATGTTTTATGGTAATGTAACCTTACCTTTTATAAATTAATGATACTCTTAAGTGGCAAAATAACATTTTGGATGACTGATGAAAATTGTCTATGGTGATTATTTTCATCCCCTAAAGTAATTATAATAGATTTAACTTTAATTTGTTCAATTTGTCCTGTTTAATGAAAAAGAAACATTCCGTCTTTGTGCTGAGCAAAAATTAAACGGTTCAAATAACAGTATTAATAATTAATTAGCCATAATGGTCTGAATAAAAATTATTTTTAGGATCCTATACACTCATAAAGTGAATAAAGGTTGCAAAAGTGGGTTTTCGCAAAGATGCCATAGAAGAACCATTTTCCATTCCCCAAAGTTCTTAAAGAATCATTTTTTCTTATAAATAAATACATTTCAATAAATGATCTAAACAGTCTTTTTCCATTTTAACCTGTTAACTGTCAACCACCCCCCCCCCCCTTTTTTTTTGAATAGACATGAAAATGCACATTTCAAACTTAAATTCAAGAATGCTTTAGAATATAGACATATGATTGGTCTTATTTTAAAGAAGACATTTGGCAGATTTTTGCAGAAATAAATTAGGAAAGTGAAACAGAAAAAAAAGTTATAGAAGTTTGAGTTTATGGAAATGTACACTGTAAAAATGTTAATTCATATTTTACATAAAATATATATTTTCAAAACCTGGGCTACTCTAAAACGGCAGAAAAATCAAAGCCAAAAATCTGAACAAGTTGTGTTTTAAATTTTAGGTTGATATCTCAAAAAATGAGCTTTCAGTAAGATTTTGTTTGAGCGCAGTACCAAACTTTTTCACTATAGGGCACAACCAGACTCTATTACTGCCCAGGGGACCTGCATTTCCATTTGTGTTTTGAGTGATATGAACCCTTATTTCCACAATTTTCATAGAATTTATGAAGTAGATATCCTATTCAGGAGTAGTATGGGAAGTTTGGCAGGTTCTGATATGAATTCAACCTCTAAGAAACACATACAAAGAACATGCATGTAAGTCACAGCTCGCTGCCGCATCACAAATGGTGAATTTGTAAGTGTAAAAAAATGTAAGCTTTCAAATGATATATAGTTTGTCAATATTACTTAAGGTATTTACTAAGATATTATTGTTTTAAAAATATAGTGGCAAACGTCCCACCTAAGGTGACAGTTAAGGGGTTGTGCAATGAAAAGTTTCCATGTATGATTTTTTATTATTTTTGAATTTTGATGGAACCATAGATCCCAATAAATAACCTTTATTTTTAAGAGTGGAAATTCATTTGTCAAGAACAGGGAACCCCAATATAATATCATCATCATTACACATATTATATTATCTTTCTTCCACTGAAAACAAAAAAGGATATTTTACAAAATGTCAGCTAATAGACTAATGTGGATATAACTGTCAAGCTCCAAAAAGGAAAAAAAAAATGCATTATCTAATCCATATGATGATATATTAATCCATATATTAATCTATATATCTAAAAATTTGCATAGTTCAACTTCCAACATTACAGAGATCGGCACTGAGCTGAAAGCTTTCCAGCAGCCTTCATTGTTCTGCGCCTTGAACTATCCAGGCAGCAGCTGTGTAGCCCTGGAGAGCGATGGGGAACGGACTACTGAGGGAACCTCCGCGCTATTGGTCTATGGTTATATGGGCATCAAGGTCTGTGTGATACCTGTTGTGGAGTTATGAAAATGATTTGATAAAAATAGAGCCTTGTCCCGTCCTGACCCATTTTATAGACAGTATGCTCTGGAAAAACCCTCCTGGGCT